GGTCCAACCTGAGCGATGTCTGGCGCCCCCTGGGCAACCAGGGTCTATGCCAACCCGACGTCTGGCTCATCCGGTGTGCCTTGAGAACAAGATACGTGCGACTCCTATCGGGATTTGTCGGCACATTCGGGCGGCTTTGCTGGTCTTGTTTTACCATTGTCAAAATGTCTTGTAACCGGGATTCCGAGTCTGATCGGGTCGTCCTGGGAGAAGGAATATCCTTCGTTGACCGTGAGAGTTTGTGATGGGCTAAGTTGGGACACCCCTGCAGGGTTTTAAACTTTCGAAAGTCGTGCTCGCGGTTGTGGGCAGATGGGATTTTTTTAATATCCGGTTGTAGAAAACATGACACTTAACTTAATTAAAATGAATCAACGGTGTGTGTAACCGTGATGGTCTCTTTTCGGTGGATTCCGGGAAGAGAACACGGTCTCGTGTTATGCTTGAACGTAAGTAGTTCTAGGATGACTTCTTGATCATGGTTTATCGACCGTGCTTTGCTCCTCTTCTCGCTCTCATTTGCGTATGTTAGCCACCATATATGCTAGTGCTTGCTGCAGCTCCACCTCACTACCTTTTCCTACCCATGAGCTTAAATAGTCTTGATCGCGAGGATGTGAGATTGCTGAGTCCCCGTGACTCACAGATTACTTCCAAAAGGCTTCAGGACGAGGCTTCAGGACGTTACTATGTTTCCTTTCCAGACGATCAGTAGTGGAGCCCAATTGGGGCGATCGGGGATCTTACGCATTTGGGGTTGTCTTTATTTTGGTTCCGTAGTCGGAGCTTGATTGTATTTTGAATGATGTAATGCTATATTTATGTATTGTGTGAAGTGGCGATTGTAAGCCAACTCTGTACCTCTTTCTTATTCAGTACATGGGATGTGTAAAGATTACCCCTCTTGCGACATGCCTACAATGCGGTTATGCCTCTAAGTCGTGCTCCGACACATGGGAGATATAGCCGCATCGTGGGTGTTACACCACTCCTCCACCGCAGGCCACGACGGCCGCCCCAGTTTCGCTCCGACGGCACACGATTCTATTCTGCTTCCCTGAGGCAAGGGCGGTTACTACCGTACGGCTCGTCTCGGCGGCCCCCCGTTTGTTCCAGCCGCACCCATGGGGATCCATTCCTCTTCCCCGAGGTGGCCTGATCTCTCTCTTATTCTCTTGATCAGCCTTCTCTGCTTAAGCCCCTCTCTCACCTCATCTCGCTTTATTATTCGGCTTGTCGATTGTCACTTTCGAACATATATAAATTTGTAGGATTTGATACAAAGTTGTGGGGTAGGACTAATAGTTGATTTAAAGACTGTAGAAGATGTGGGGCAGGACTGATGCACCGGCGCCGCGTATCGGCGTGGGGGTGGGCCGGCGGCAGGACATGGAGATGGGATTGGTTTTTTTAGGGGATTGGGAGGCAGGGACGTGGGGTGAGTGGGTTATTTCTTTTTCTCTCTTGTCAGTACCGCTTCGGGTTGACTTATAATAGTACTACGGGTTGAATACCCAAAACAGCAGGGGGGTTTCTGTAAAAATGTCGACGATGTACGACCAGTAGCGATCCATGCTTTATTAGTACGTAGATATAGAGATAAACACACATAACTATATATGTAGTACATGCCTACATTACATTGATGAATTGGAGCTATTGTGTATTGATCTAGGTTGTGACTGTTACATGATGAATATCATCCAACACAAATATACATCGCCGATCCAATGCCTACGATTTTTGATGTTGATCTTTACTAAGTTACTTTTGTTGTTGCTGCTGCTGTTACAATTACTACAAAACTGCTATTGTCACTGTTACTATTGCTATTGTTCCCACTGCTATCAAACTAATACTACTATGTTACTAAACACTTCATTGCAGATATTTAGTTCTTCGGGTGTCGTTGAATTGACAACTCAATTGCTAATACTTGAAAATATTATTTAACTCCTGTTGTGTCGAATCAATAAATTTGGGTGAAATACTACCCTCGAAAACGGTTGCAACCCCCTATACTTGTGGGTTATCACCCCTTAACTGAGATGTGGCACCCTCGCTCGAGGTGGCGGCCACCACCACACCTGCACACCACGCGTGGAGCACCACCAGCCACCTGCACCCCTGCCGCATGAAGGAAACCGGATCGGGCATGACCTAGCCACCGCCGACACCACAGTAGGGCGCACCACCGCCTCCCAGCCACACGACCGCCGTATCTGTGCGCCCCCGACATCGATGGCTCTGCTGGACCCCGCGCCCGCACGAGTGGCGTCCCCTGCGCCGTCGGGATCGCAAACAAGGGAGGAAGGGCGAGGCCTTGCCGCCACCTGCGCCGCGCGGGCTTTAGTCGGCAGATGCCCTCCAGCACTGGCGAGGAGGAGGATGTGCTGAAGGGGGAAGAGCTAGCGTCCGCGGAGGAGATCGGGCTCCAGGGCACGCGCGCCAAGCGACCGGGGGGGCGGTCTTATGCGACCTGGGCCGCACGCCCTGATCCTGAGACCCCCTTTAGCGGTGGCCACTTGGCAAGAACCTCTCGATCGTAGGCAAGCCAATTAATTAGCCTAAAAAAAGGCAAGCCAATTAATTCTCTAAATCTAATACTAGTTAATCCCGTTCCTTCCATCTACGTTACTCCGGCCAAGATGAAGCGCTGCAGAGGAGGTTGATGGTGGCCATGGACGCGTGGAGGCGTGGACGGCGGGGGAGCTGGATGGAGCAGAGGGGCTGGACGGTGGCCGTGGACGGAGCTCCGGTGGGCAGCGATGCAACGAACAGACGAGCTGCCGGACCGCCGAGGAACGTGGTCTTGGATGACGGGGGAGCAGCAGGGGCGGCGGCCACGGCCGCGTCCGCGGTGAGCGAGCCGGAGGAACGCTGGGGAGAGCATCCGAGGAGGCGTGGACGGCGGCTGCCGCGGTGAGCAAGGGGAAGAAGAAAAGGGCAAGCCAATTAATTAGCCTAAAATTAATGACAACAGAGGATTAATGGCCCAGGTGCTTTGAGATTCGGTTTTGCCAAAGTGGCCACCGCTTAAGGGGGTCTCACGATCAGGGCGTGCGACCCAGGTCGCATAGGATTTTTTTTTCGTGGGGAGGGGTGCGCTTCAACCACCTTTTCTTCCAATGTAATTTTGCTCATGCTACATCGCTTCGTAAGAAGCTAATATGGCCGTTTTGAGTTAACCTTCAACCATGATATACCTTCTTAGCTTTGTAGGAAATGAATTGAGTTTTAAATATTTCTGAACTCAAGATGGAAATGCAAAGAGATATTAAAGCAAGTCAGTCAACACGAGAGTGTTGTTTTGAATATCCAAGATAATTCATTGGTAGGGCTCCAATGATTTCATACCACAAGTGTTACATCACATGTGTCAACCTACAGCTGGCAGAGCATTCTTTCTAACCCACTAGGGTGTTGAACAGTTGATATATACGGTCCTTGCAAGTTTGAAAGTGACGAGAAGGTGCTAAAGGGCGACTAAACGTTCACTTGCCGTGTCGATTCATGCTACTGTGAGAGAACGTATTGGATTTCATTTTGGCTTTGAAAGTTCAATGCTAGGATTGACTGACCGGCTCCAAATGACAGCTTGTTCTTTTTTTCTCGCGTGGAAAAATAATACAGTAGCTTGTTGGTATATATACAACACACTGCCGATGAATCAGTAGGGAGTCGTCCGTAGTTCATAGTACCCAGCCCTCATAATTTAAGCATATATAGGTTTGATCCTCCTACGTTACTGCATCATTTACCGAGATACTTTACTTTGCAAAAAATGAAGATGAGGGTCCCCGACGCACTCCATTGTGTGCTCGCACTGCTCTTCCTATGGATGGCAATGGTGCAAGCATCCGGCCCGCAGAGAAGCCGAGCAGCGAACGCCACGGCTCCATCTGCCGCCACGCTCGCCGCTTGTCCAAAGGGCTGTGGCGACCTGAGATTCGAATACCCCTTCGGCGTTGGGGGCGGCTGCTTCCGGCAACCAGACTTCGAGCTCATCTGCGACCATCACGACAAGACGATGCCACCCCGACTTTTCCTCCACGACGGCACCACGGAGGTCATCGACGACATCATCACCCCAGGTTTTGGTTCTTACAACCACTACCAGGATGTTGATATACAATTTTCACATGTCATCACCTTGAAACCTGGTTTGAATGAGTACACCGTGCCCTGGAAAGCACCTGGGAGATCCTTTAGCCTTGATACTGCATATTTTAATATCACTGGTTGCGACTTTGATATTTACCAGCTCGACCGTGACCTGAACACGGGCCAGAGGCTTTGCACAGTTCGTTGTCCGAATGAGCAAATCACGGATCTAATGGCTCGGGAGAGCTGCAATGGTACAGGATGTTGCTCTATTATGATGGAAGGTAGCGACTTCGAGCTCAAGTTTATCCGCCACGGGGTAGAGAAGGACCAGCCGCCACGCCATAAGAGGAGCACCCTTTGGAATAGAATCAATGTAACTTCTTGGCATTTTGGTCTCACTTGGACAATCGCGGATGAATCATCATGCTCCGCCGCATTGGACAACATGACGAACTATGCCTGCGTCAGCTGCCACAGCGTGTGCATGCCTAACAACCTCAGGTCAATAATAGGTTACATGTGTGCCTGTGATGAAGGTTATGCAGGCAATGCTTACATAACTGATGGATGTCATCGTGACAAAGGTAATTTTTGGGCTGAATATAAATAACTGTTTATTACCATTTAATGGAACTTGGAACCAATAGCTAATCTCATATCAACCATTATCATGTGCCATATTATTTCTTAAATATGTGGTCTGAACCATTAACGAGGAACTTGCTTATTAGATGGTTAGCAATAGCAAATGGTTAAATTTTTTCTTCATGTTTTCGTTTTCCTCAAAACAAAGAAATTATTTGTAAAATTACTTCGTCTCTGTCAAATAACTTGGTGAATCTCTCATTGTATTTATATATGATCTAATATATCACCGACTTTACATTGATAACAGGCTATAATCCAGTTCAACAGAAATCTAATTGCACTCGAAACTGCGGGAACATCAGCGTTCCTTTTCCGTTTGGTCTAGAAGAAGGTTGTTTTGCTAGGGAGTCATTTCATCTCAAGTGCACAGACATGACATCATCAACCCTGCAATTTGGGTATGAAGGGGGAGACCGACAATACATAACTTACATCAGTATTAGCGAGGGTCATGTGGGCTTTGAATACACATCAAATTATATGGAACCATTCTTCAGATCGCTCGTAGATAATGAGCCTAATCTCTACCGTGGTTTAGGGCAGTCCGCCTCTGTTCAATGGGCAGTCGCTAATCTAACCTGCCAGGAGGCACGTCTCAACAGCTCAGGGTATGCTTGTGTGAGCGTCAATAGCATTTGCTTGGGCGTCAGCTCCACGAATGAGTACAGAAATGTATACATTGGTTATCGTTGTATGTGCAAGGACGGATTTCAAGGAAACCCATATATTCCAAGTGGTTGTGAAGGTACCTACTCTCTCTTTCTCTCACATTTACACGAGTTTCAAGTTTTACCTTAAGAGTCTACGTACTTCCACTTTAGTGCTTTTTATTACCATGACTTATTCAGCGCACAGAGTTTTCAATGGCATTCTTTGTAGACTTGAAAATATCCAAGTAGTTATAAAGAAATGAACAACATCCAAGTTTTTCTTGATTCTTTTCATGTGAAAAGATATCGGGCCTCTGCATCATTATCATTATGGTAAGCCTGGACATGGCGAGCGAGCTTTTGGCCCGGCTCGAATTAGGCCTGAGAAAACATCGATCCGGTCCGGTCTTTCACCGGTAGGACCGAGAAAGGGCCCAGGCCGATGCACAAGCACGCTAGGCCAGGGTAGAGTCTGCACACGATGCGCTCTGTTCGTTCACGAGATACAGAAACGACGTTGCCTCCTTCCCCTCCCATCCCGGCGCCGCCTTGAGTACGAGCTGGAGCACCAGCACACGCAGGCCACCAGCAGAGCACGCACGTGTCCCGGCGCACAGTGCACATGGCCACCAGCCTCCCCGCGATGAACAACCTTGTCCTGTAGGTCAGCAACCTTGAGATCTGCTTCCCGGAGCAAGGAGCTGGCCGGATTCGCCTCCAAGCCATCGCAATCATCATCCAACCCCAAGTCCGGGCTCCATCGTTTGTCGTCGATTACCAAGCCATCGCTGCTTCCTCAGCCTCCCCGACCCTGCCATCGAGTTCGCCGTTAGTCACCGCATATTTTCCCATTGTTTCCCCCTCCGATTAGGACCCATAGCCGAGTCTTGCCATCGTTGTCGACGCCATGGTCACCGTCACCTCGCCATGGCCGGTCCTCTCAGTCAGGCCCGGGCTTCCCCGCCGCCGGTCCCGTCCTTTAAAACAGGACCACCAGGCTGCTCTATCCGGTCCGGACCACCGGCGGCCAGTCCAAACGACAGCTCAGTGACGGGCCGGACCGGCCCGGACCGCATCTATCCTATTGTGATGCACACAATGAAATTCATTAGTAAACATGCTATTCATCCAATTACAAACGATAGTAAAAAAATCATTACCAGAACTGGATAAAAGGACAACAACCAACCAATAAGGGCATGACCAACGACATGCCCATTGTGCTGCCCGCCAGAGTCACATAGTACGCGTTTGGTCACCTACATTATTTTTTGCCACTTTACATATTTGTCCTAATTGGGCCTGGTTGAGCATATGCAGGCAAAAAACCAACATCTACATGTTGATTGGTTGTCTGCATCCCCTCTAGTCTGCATGCGCTAAAACAGGAGGCCTGCTGTTTGGTTGCGGACTTGTTTGAGGAAAAACACAAGTTCGGTTGTTTGGTTACATCCAGGACAGTTATGTTGTAGAGTGAAGACCTTAAGTGGAGATATTTCACGAATTGAAGGAGGGTTCCCCGAAGAACACGAAGAACACAAAGGGAAATCACAAGAGGAATACTCAAGAACAAGTCCAATCACACATCCACTAGACTAGCAACACATAGATCCACAAGATACATGAACAACAAAGGGAAATAACACAAGGTAAAGTTCATCCCAAATCCCAAAGGGAGGTGAGGTCTTGATAATCCTATGATGGGGATCCTTCCCTAGATGAGGTCTTGAATCCATTAGGGATCTTCTCCAATGGAGGCCTTGAACTCCAATGGAGTGTCTCTCTCTCAAGAGGAATCCCATAAAGGGAAAAACATGAGCTAAGCTCTAATGTATAGATCTATTCTTAGCTCCCCTAAAATGGAGGAGGGGGATATATATAGGTCCAAGGCAAGGAAGGGGTAAGTGAGGGCGAAAGGGTAAAGTTACGTGGGCCTTGCCCAAATTCGGCCCGTAGATGCACTACCGGATAGTCTGGTACAAGGGACCAGACAGTCCGGTGGAAATAGAAACTTCTGGGCATCCAGAAATTGTACCACAAGACTATCCGCTTGGGGGACCGGACTGTCCGGTAGTGCATTTTCTACACGGACCAAAACTGCTATCTGGATGGACCGGGCAGTCCGGTTGGGCGACCGGACAATCCGGTAGTGCAAATTTTGCACCGTCTTCTTCCGACGTCGCTTCCAAGCTTCCCTCGCGAACGGTGTAGGCATACACTTGCGCTTGCACTCCTCCTCGTCATCTGTGGTGCTCCGATGATACCTATGCATGCACACGAGAGGAGTGTCAAGTAGTATACCATCCTCGATGGGGTCAAGTAAACACATGTAAAGAAGATGATTCGCCTTTGTGTATGTGAAGTAGATGTCACATGTGTTACTCGCCAAATGGACTCTTGACATGGTGATGTCTGTAGGATGCTCTGCATCAAGTTGTGTGGTAAACTCCTCCTCAATGTGGTGAGGTTACCAAAGACACACATGAACTACTAAGAACTAAACCAGGAGCAAAACAATCTTAGGCACAAACACAAGTCTTAACCACGCATCACAAGTTTTAAACCAACATAGTATGATAAATTTTAAATGAAACACAAGTCTTAAAACAGGAACCAACAAGGAACGGGCAACAGGAGCTCAGGCGGTCGCCGCGAAGGTGTTGTCATGCTCCTTCCGCTTGGTGACCACCTCCATGGCCTCGTCGTTGAAGGCGATCACCTTCATGGTGTCGGGGGTCAGCAGCTTGAACCTCAGCATGTACCCGATCATGATCTGGTGAACAGTGACGAAGCTGGCCCAACCCTTATCAAGGGTGACCCTGTCATTGATCACTCTCACCGTCACCCTCCATGCACAGCCAGTGTTCGTCTTGAGCTCGAACTCTGTAGGGATGGCGGGGAAGTGCTTTGTAAAGTCCAGAGGCAATGGCAGACTCTCTAGCTTTGGAGCAAGGATAACCTTGCAGAAGTGGTTTGGTCCTGACTCCTGATGGTAGTGGCCATAGTTCATCCGCTTGGCGCTTGGGTGATCTTCCATTGACGCTTCGACCAATGGCGGCACGACCTCCTTGCCCTTCTTAAATGGTGGCACAACCTCCGTGCCCTTCCCCATCTACATTATGAACAACACGCAGTTTAATGGTCAGCATTCATTCATCTCGGCCTAACGCTCCCATATTAACCTATCCTACTAACCTAACACCGCATTCAAACTCCCTCTATTTCACAACCTCTCCTCTTCCACTTCTCTGTTTCACGACCTCTCCCTCGCCATGAACCCCAACTCCAACCCCAACCCTTTCCCCTGGGGCATTCGATGGAGGATATTCTTCCTTGGGTGCTCGCTCGGTGACCGCAAGAAGTTCGAGCACACCATGGAAGTGTGCTTGAACTTCAGCAGCATCGATGACATGCACAAGGAGGTCGATACTGTGATGAAGAAGGCTACACTGGATGAGGTGAGGGAACTTATTCTGGACCCAGCCAAGGGTGCGGTGTAAGTGGACATCCTGCGCTAGGCCATGAATCAGGCAGACTTCGGCGACGCTGGATAGCGGGCAAGATGGGCCAAGTACGGTCACTACAAGGCGCCTCAAGACCAGCATGGCGCGGCGTACTGGAGTAGCACGTTCGGGTCGCCGGAGGCCGACCACGACGAGGTGCAGATGGTGACCAGGGTGCCGGCGGTAGGCGGCCATGCAAGACCCATTGTTCTTGATGAAGACAATGAGGAAGGAAATAAGATGGCTACGCCCCCCCCCTCCCGCCGCTCGACGCGACTCTAGGGTCACCGCGGCTATACAAAAAAGTTTGTACCCTCAATCCCCAACCCCGATGTTGTCGAAAAATAACCTATGTACCCTAGTAGTCGTCGATGCAGAATTGATTGATGGCAATCCTCCACCCCCGGTGTGTTCAACCCCCTCCCTAACTCTTCAATCACGTGCTCTAATCTAATCTGGCCCGAATCGAAAGCAGTGAATGTACAGAGAGGACAAGGTCTTACCGCCATGGCCGATGCGCTCCGTTGGAGGTCTTCAGTCGCTCCGGTGGTTGTCGTTGCCGTCTTGGATCAATTCGCACTAGAGCTTAGGCGGTCACCGCTGTTGACGCCGTCGGTGTGAGTGGGGAAGAGGGGAGAGAGCGGTGAGAAACGGAGGTGAGGGTAATTTATGACGACGCATCAAACAATGCAACTTCTCGGGACCGCACCCACGCGTGCAACCGCCCACACACCCACGTGCCTAGGGGTGCATCGCATAGGCCTGGCTCCACAAAAACGACTGATTTGAATGTTCCTCTGGATGCAGGTCCAGATGTGCTTTAATGTTCGTGGTATGTAGGTCCAGCAGTGAATGCGGGTAACCAAACGGGTCATTTTCTTCCCGCTCGGGTATGGCTAAGGTATATGCAATCCACCAAACACGTCCATAGGCACAGGCTCCAGCATGAAGTTAAAGTCGATGCCTCACACAGGCAGGTGATTCTTCTGCAAGAGACGGGTTCTTGAGGGGTGAGGCTGTGATCCTACGCCCAAAAGGTGAACTAGCATACCCTCCTCTGCATGCCAAGCTTCTCCTTCGATGGCTCAACCACTTGACCGGCGGCAGCGCCGCTAGCTGATGACGAGGCGAGTACCACATGCGGTCAAAGGCACTTACGATTGCGTGGACATAACTCAAAGGTTGCACTATGTTTAGGTATATTGACCATTGAATGGTCTGCTAGGTTGGTCAAAATTTCCAAAACCACTAGTAATACTGAGCATATTCTTTTTCTCTTTAGTTTTCTAGCGAAATATTTTGTCGTCAGCACACTCGACTTTCAAGCATTGTAGATTTTGTAATGCAAATGGGTACAATGACATCTCCAATAAATTAGCCTGGCTATTTGAATGATGTGACACATCAGTATTTTGATGATATTGAATGAAAATTATAAGAGAATTGTTAATAGTATAGCCAGCTAATGGTTATATGAAACTATCATATCATCTATAGTCACTCATATAGTAGTGTGGGCTATATAAGGATTGTTAGAATATCTCCAACGCCGACCCTCAAACCGCACGGAACCGTTCGGACCGTGCGGTCTA